GGCTTCCAGCATGTTTCTGAGCTCATCTATTTTTTTACCTGTTTCTGTTCTAGAGCCTCTAATCATGCCTTTCACTCTACTCACCATCTCTGTAGTTATCTGGGAGATTATTTCTGCTTTGAATTTTTCTAAAGCCTCATTCATCTGTTTTGTTACTTCCTGTGCTATAAGTTCAGGGTGTCCAAATGGTTGATTATCACACTTTTGCACCTCATTTCCCCCATAGTTTATCCTTGGTGGGTTGGAAGTCTGAGTTTGTGCTTTGCTTAAATGTCTTCTCATTTTTGTTTTCAGTACTGTCCTTGGTTTAATTCCTGGGTTGATACTTTGAAATTGCTTATTGTAAGTATCTTTGTTGCTTGTAATTAGAACCTTTATGGAATGATTGCTTCTCAGAGGTGTCTTCCAGATATAGCTGGTCTTTAGGTTTTGAGTCTCTAATGACTCTGAGACTATCTCATTTTCATTATACCAGGAAGGACCACTGAGTAGATCAATCACAACACCTTAGCCCAGCAATCAGCAACACCATAGCATCAAGTACATCTTAGAAAATGACCGTTTGCAGTAGTTATTAATCTATCACCTTTAACTGTGTGAATTAAATCAAAATCATGGTCCAACCCAACATATGTTCATAGTGAATAAACTCTTCAACATAGCAACTTTACCCTTCCAGATGGGGAGTTAGAAAGAGTTGGGGAGGGAAGGATAGATATGTAGAATGATAGGGGAAGGTTAACAGTGAGAGAAGCAAAAAGAGAATAAAAGAAAAATAAAGAAGAAATCCTAATTAGGGCCAGAACAGGAACATAAAGGGAGATGAAGAAAATGTAGGACAGCAAGAGAGTGAGTGTGAGAGAGAGAAAGGAAAGAGAAAAGAAAGAAAAAAAGAAGAGAAAAATAAAAAATTTGAAAAGAGTAGAAAAAAATTAAAAAATAAGAGCAAAAAACCCCAAATAATACTAATTTTGTAAAATAAAAAATAAAAATGAAAATAAAGGGCCTCCTTCAGGTTATGTCTCTGCTGTCACAGTAGACAAACATGGGCAGCAGTGTCCAGATATAAGTCAGTGAGTCTCAGCAAGCCAGTCACAGACCTGTGGGATTCAGGCAGATTTCTGGTGGCAAGTCCCAAGTTGAGATCCCTGTCCTCCTGTAGGGTTGAACTCTGCAAGGTTGTACTGCAGGTTCCAGCTGCCCTTCCCCTGAAGATAGTCCAGGTTCTGATGGGAGGTGATGATCCCTCCAACTTACCCAGTATGGTGGTCTGGTGTCCCCTGTGTCTTTGTAGTGTGGAACCAGGTAGCAGTACAGCCGGGAGGCCAGAGGTGGTGGTGGGGGGACAGGGGGGTCCTGCAGGCACTAAGCGGATTGCCGCCATGGGTGTGGCCAGTGGCGAAGGGCCCTCACCTTCTGGCTGGTCCCCACCAGTGTGCTAGGCACGGGCTGGATGGAGCGGGGCTCCCAGCGACCCGGGACCTCTCTCTGGTGGGCTAAGTGGCTCCAGAAATCTTAACAGAGTTTCTTATTTAATCTGCTATGTGCAAGTTGTTTCTTTAATCAAGTTGCTCATTCATTTGTCAGAAGATCCTACTAGATCCTAAGGCATTGTTATTTAAAAGGTATGTGCTCACAAAATAACTCCTGACCTCAAGAAAATTAGTGTCCTTTGTTGATCCAGGAGTAGAGCCTGTGGGGAGGTAACCAGAAAGGATCAGTGGATACAAGAGAACATTCAACTTGTTTTTAGAAGATATAGCTCAAAACGATCCTGTTGTTAAAATTTCATTATTATACATGGCAGAATTAGAAAGGCTTTTTTTATAATGTGTTCCCCTTATCACCTCCATATGATATTTCTATCAATAGAATCATAATAAAATATGAAATACTTTTTCATTGGAGTTGCTATACAAATCCCTAGTAGACCTTAGAAAAATTAATGGCAAAAATATTTCTGTTTAAAAATTTTTTTAAAATATTTCTGTTTAATGAGCATTTACTTAGCCCTGGACTCTAAAATCCTATGTGCTGTATATTTATAACCTCACTTATTCTTTATAAAACCATATGAAAATGCTGGTGAAGGTCCCATTCTACATATGAGAAACCAGGGTGCATAGAGATTAAAATCTTTCACAAGTAGTGGATACTAGATCCAGGATTTAAGTCCAGCTATAATGAACTTTAAAGCTTATTTAATGCAATAGATTGAATCCGAAGTAGGTGTACAAGTGTTAAAATCCATCCACTTTGTTTTGAAATGATTTCAAATAGACAAAGAGTTATGCGTTGGAGTGGTTGGAGACCTCCAGGCGAGGCACTTCAGTAGATGGCACTTAATAAATTAGACTACTGAATGCTGGAACTGGGAAATGCTGTGGCAAGCTGGCCAAATGTCATGAATATTTAATGGATTTTCATCAGTGTAACTGAAGGCAGTCAACATATATGATTGCAGAGATACTCCCCAATCTTACTTAGAAAATGTAGCTACAGGTAGTGCTTTAAGTAAGATTTTTAATTCCTGTGAAGCCACCAAAGATATTAAGATATCACAGATTGAACTGTCAACAACTAGCACACTTCCAACTGAGAGCTGTTCCCAAACTCTTCAGAAGCTTTCAGTCACATCACCCAGCAGTCTCCATACTCCTCAGATGACGCCAACACCACCCACCACTCTGCAGACTCCTCAGGTAGCTCCAGAAACACCATCCAGCAGTCAGCAGACACCTAAGTTGACTCCAGAACCATCCAACAGTCTCCACACCGGTATGTTGCCTCCAGCAGCAGCATCCAGCAGTCTGCAGACTGCTCAGGGGACTCCAGAACCACCCAGCAATCTCCAGCATCTGTGGATGCCTCCAAGTGCATTAAGTAATTTCCAGACACCTCTAACAACACCACCTAGCAGTCTCCAGACTCCTCATATTCCTCTAGGACCATCTAGCAGTCTCCAGACTCCACAGATGCTTCCAGGATCAGCAACCAGCAGTCCCTTACCCATGGTAAATTTTCTGTTCCCACAATATTTTTCCAGAGATTAACAGAATTTTAGAAGAGTTTCTCAATAATCCTTGAGCACCATGAGCTTTACTTAATCAAATCATTTCATGAAGTGTATATTTTGAGATACTAATCTAAATTTGAATTCTAACTCTTATTCTGTCCTAATGCATTAGGGTTAATCTATGACTCAGCACCTAATGATCCCTGCCTCATAAAGTGTACTATTAGACATTCCTTTGTTTAACTTTATTTTTAAATGTTAGCTTGCATTTTTGTTTCAGTACACCATGAAAGCAGTATCGTAGGGTAAAATAGGATATGAAATTTATCACTAATTATTTCCTTTGCATTTTTTTATACAAATAATAACATCTTAGAAAAATTAAGATTTTTCTAAGTAGATACATAGACAAAAAAATTAAATTTTAACTATTTAAATGTCTCTCATCAAATGCCACATTTTGGCATTTGGTCTTTTTTATTTTCTCTTTATTATTTATATCGAGAGGGTATCATTTTCTTCCAGATTTGATAATATCACATATATTTTTCAATCATGCTCTTTAAAAAATCACTTGAAATATCTTGAATTGCCATTCAACCAACCAATAGTGACTAAAATTATTTCATTGTATGCGAAAATTACATGGTTATTCTATATTTTATAAAAATAACTACATTATTTGACTCATTATTTCTAGTGTCTCTATACCTTCCACAAGCATAATAAGAATATATGTACCTGGCATCCTCTTTTATCATCCACAAATAGAGTAACAATTTCTTCCCTAAGTCTTGTGCACTTTTTCTCAGGATGCTGACCTCACTGTCATGACAGGAACAGTAACGGTATCCCTGATACTGCTTAAATTTTATAAGAAATGAACTTTCCTGATGTTAGGAAGCATTTGACCACATGGAGGAGAAGACAGAGTTAAGCCCCATCACTCACAGGGCATGGTCTGTATAATTTTTCAGCTTGGATCACATTGAGCATTGCTGGTCTATGGAAGCATCTAGCCTGCCTCCACTTACTGGCTTCTGGGACTCCCATGGTGGCCTCCACACTTCCTCTTCCAGATTGTTAGCCTCTCATCCAATTCAAAATGCTTTCCTGAAACTCAGAAATAGTGCAGAGCACTGCAAATACAGATGCTCGAAGCAAAGTTCCTTCATGCCTAACTTCCATTTCAATGATTCTCCTCAATGCCTGCTATTATAAAAGCTGGGGAGCATCTAGCCTGGCCCTGTGCAGATTAAGAAAGTTCTTGAGGTTCTTCCAGTAACTGCTTTGCTAATCCTTATACAAAACAGCACTGATTTGTTGGAAAGGGCTTTGTGATTTAAGTCTTTTAAAACATCCCTGCTGGTTAGAATTAGTACCAGCTGATATTACTAACATTTTTTTCATTTCATCTGTTAGCTAAGTAATATCATGTCAGACATTGTTGTCTAGATTTTCCTCAGGTCCACCTGACTAAGGTGCTCCTTGGGCATAGACATTGAGCCTGAGATGGCTGTCACTAGATAGTGACCGTGTACTCTCTGTCTTAATTGTGCTTGTGTTTTATTGTGTACCATCTACGTAGAAGCCAAAGTTGAAGCCTGTACCCACAGAACCTTCCAAAGAATGTGGTTATCAGAAGGGCCCCAAAGAAGTGATGGTGTTGAAAGTGACAGAACCATTTACGTATGCAGTCAGAGAAGAGGAGCAAAAGATAATTCATGCCACGGTGGCTACTGAGAATGAATTCTTCCGAGTGAAGGTTTTTGACATCACAGTTAAGGACAAGTTCACCCCTAAAAATATCATTACCATATCAGATTATTTTGGTCGAGATGGCTTCCTAGAGGTATACAAAACCTCCACTGTGTCTAATGTGAGTGCTGACCGACAGATGGAAATCTTACCTACTCTGATTCACCGTGCCAAAGCAACTCCTAAAATCCGCCAGCTTTGGTCACAGAGTAAAGGAACATATGTGAATGGAATATTTACGGTGTGTAAGGTAAGTCAAAGCATTAACTTGTCAGATTTTTTCCGCAAATCCAGATTTTAAAGTTATAACCTGGCAACTGTATTTGATCAATTTACTGAACACAGGAAAAAAGGCTCCCTTATCAGGGACAGGTGAGTAGAGTCTTCTCATTTCAGAATGTGAGATAGCTAGGCTCTTAATATTTCTCTTCTCAAGGTATCACCATGGAAATTCTTTAGAATGAGATTTACCAAGAAACCTCAGTATTTTATCAACTATGTTGATCAGTTCATAGCCAGCTTGGTAGAGGATGGAGCATAGCCCCATCTGTATCAGTGACAACTGAATTGTGAATAAGGAGTTGCCTCCCAACACTGGATTCTGGTTGTAACAACCAGAATAAGAAATCAAATGATAACTGTGTCCTAGAATGCAACTGTGTCCAACAGTAAGCTAGGATTCTGATCATGTGTTCTCTAAATTGCTGTCACTTCTTCTCATTCATTACTTTTCATCAAGAAATTGTTAGGTAACTGATTTCTGTGCTAAATAATAAGAGAAACTTAGAAGTTAAGAGACTAGAGTAGCAGTGCCAAACCTATGGCAAAGGCCTCAGTGGGTGGGGAGAGCCCTCTGTCAGCACGTCACCCCAGCGTCACCCCAGAAGCCAGCATTCTGGTTTAATTGCAGTGTTGGCACTTTGTGATAAATAAGTGGGGTTTGGGTTTCAGTTTGGGGAGTCTTTAAAAGGTTCATCGTAACTATACTAGAGAAATGTACTGTGTCTCTCAATTTATAAATAGGCACCATAAATTACCAAGTTTGGAGAATTCTTAGACATAAGGTGTGTCTTTCTGTCCCCGTCCTCCCTGTATATGGTACACTTAACTGTTTCTTCAAAGTACCACTTCACACACAATTATATTGTCTTGGAGGGTGGTTTTTTACTTTTACCTGTGTTGTTTTCTGTACATTCTATTTAAATGAATGTAAGTACATGCTTAATTAGTAAAGTAAGTTAGATACAGACCAAAAGAATGGGACAGGTGATCTGGATTTAATATTTGAACAGATTGAAGTAGAGTGAATAAATGGAGAAGATAAAAGAAACTATAATTGAGATAACATAATCCACTTAATGAAAATTTGCAGCAGTCTTTCTCAGACCCCAGTGAACGACACATTGTCATCTTTTTCTGTTCTTGTGAAGATAGCAAGAAACCTATCAAACTAATCAGAATTCTCTCCATCTAGACTCCGTAAGACATTTCAGGTATGCTGATGTGGAAGCAGTACAAATTAGAAAAATAATCAATTCTTCCAGAAAAATTGAGCAGATAGACTTTAAAGTAAGGAGAATTTCAGAAAGGTTTCAAAAGAGAGGATTTGCTGACCAAAATATCTTAAGCAATTTGGTATTTCTAATTTTGAACCTACAGTTCTATTTACCTATTGGAAACCAACATTTCCACTGTGTGTGTGTTTCTCATAGAAGTGAAAATTCCTGATACAATTCTCAGCGGATAAATATTAATATTCTTTTGCAGAAAAAGGTGAGGCAGGGATGTATTTTTTATGAAATACAAGACAATACAGGAAGGATGGAAGTAGTGGTATATGGACGACTGGCCAATATCTACTGTGAGGAAGGTGATAAACTTAACCTCACTTGCTTTGAAGTGGCCAAAAGTGTGGATAGTTGGCAGCTGAGATCTGTACTTCATAGTCACCTCAAGGTAAGCATCTTGTGGGAACATCATTCTCCTAGGTGGAAACTCACATATTTTATATTGTACTTTAGAAAACTAGACTGCTACTATTATATACAGTTCAACCCAGTGAAGAAAACTCACTTTGTCCATTCTTGTATGTTTCCATCTTCTTTTTGATAAGGGTATTTAAGTTATAGTGAAGAAAAATTCAGAGACATTCAAAGCTGTTTACCCTAAACTAAATAATAATTATTTATCAAAGCAGACAGATAATTTAATAAGAATTTGGGTTTAATTAAGGAAAATTTATTTATATTCTGGCTCCGTATTTTTCCAGTTAATTGAAGATTTAAATACTAGGAATCTCAGGGTCATCATCTATAAAATAGGGAAAATACTTTCAGCCTCAAAGGTTCATCAGCAGAGCTCATAGCAAACCAAAGTTAGCAAGGATGCTCTAAGAAAATTAGAACACAAGGGTATCTGCCTTAAGAGAAATATTACATGACAAAGTCCACATTCTTTGTCATACTAATATAAACATTCATGTAGATTCATAGGACACTAAAGACAGCTAAGTTTGGAAAGCAAATCAAAAACAGATCAAATGTAGCTGCTGACCTATTCAGGCACACAGAAGTGCTCCTGTTCTTAGATTTCTCCAGTCTTCAAGTCACATGGTAAAATCTTGCAAATCTTCCCTCACAGCAGATACAGTAGGAAGTGCCTTTGTATCTTCCACCCACTCTCCTGCCCAGTAAGAACCCTCCACCCAGCTCTTGCCATTTTGGCGACACCAGCCCCTCTCCTCTTCCCCTCTGTCCTGTTCTTCCACCTGCACTTCTACTGATTAGGAGTAATCAGCACATTTCATGGTCCTAAGCTGGGGGTGGGGGGACTCCAAGGACAGGGATTCTTGAAAGGAGACAGAGGGAGAAAGGCAAGAATAGGGATATGGCTCATGGTTGTGTAAAGTAAGTCCTAGTGTTATTTTGTAAAATTTCTTCCACAAGCCCTATTTTGAGTGAAGGGAAAAATGCGTGGGCAGCTGCATCCCAACTGATCTGTCTTTATCACTCTCTTCTTTAAGGTCATCAAAGCCAGGAAAAGCAAGACACAGCCAATTGAATCTGGTTTTAAAACGGAAACTTCACTGGAGTCCCAAAAACCTGGATGGTACTGATAATGATGTTGATGAGGATAAGATCCAAGTATAGGAAGGAAAAATATATGTGTGTGTGTGTGTGTGTGTGTGTATATATATATATATATATATATCATATAAGATATATGCACACATATATCATATAAAAACCAGCTCTTAGCTGGTCATGGTACTGCATGCCTAAAATCCTAGCACTCTGGGAAGCTGAAGTACAAGGATTGAAATTTCAAGCCCAGCCTGGATAACTTAGAGACTTAACAAGATCCTGTCTCAAAAAGTTTTTTTAAAAAGGCCAGGGATGTAGTTCAGTGCAAAGACCCTGGGTTCAATCCCCACTACCATCACCAAAAACAAATAAACAAAAAGCAAAAACAAAAAATATGGACAGAAACAAAAGCAACAAAACAGGCAAGAAAACAAGGAAAAAGAGTTCTAAGAAATGGATTTTTAGAGATGCTTTTTACCTTCTTCTTTACGCATGTTTTATATTTTCTAAATTCCATATTTTGCATTTATAGATTTTATAATTTGAGAAAATAAACACCTTTTCTAAAGTAGTGCTTCTCCAGGCATCTCTTTAATCTATATTTCACTTGCTTTTAAGCAAACAGTTTGTGGCCCACAAATCAGGTTGGGGCACCCAGGCTAAAAGCAATATGTCAATGTAATATTCAGGTGTGATCTTTAAGGTCTAGGCCTGGTGAGGAATGAACAAGCTGTGTGCTGTTCAGAGAAGCCAAGCTAAGGGATAGGTAGGGGCTGAAATCCAGTCTGAGCTTTAGTCTAAGCTGTGTCCTAGAAGGGTTAATTAGCTCAGGACAAGAATATCTTAGCCGAATTTTTCTCCTGGAGAGGACATAATGGGTACTTTGTCTGCCAAACGACTGCCTTCTCATGATTTGTGTGGAACTAGTGGTTCAGGAGAAATTCTGGCCCTTTCTGATGTGAAATATCTGTTTCCAATCATTTACTCAAACACCAGTGGCTCCTCAGTAGCTCTCCCACCTTCGTTCCTGGTTCTCACATTCCACGTGTTTGGATCCATCAAGAATCTGTCCCAGCCACATCTGTGTTAGGCCAAGCCTGAAGTTAATTTTCAATAACTAAACCAGATATGTAGAATTAATATTTGCTGTTTTATTTACTGATCATATATTTAGTGTCTGGTATTTTGCAGTTATTTTTGTCAGTCAGTTTTTATATTAGTTCTAAAAGTTTGATAGTTGTTTTTTCCTTTTTACTCCACAATATGAAGGGGGCAAAATAAAGGTAAAATCACTTTCCTGGAGCTTGATTTAGAATCTAGTCTGTTCCAATTTGAGGTATATGTTTTAGAGTGAAGAGTGTGATGTTGACGTCAGAATTCTGAGGAACAGAATAGAGTTCACTTCTATAAAGAACCAAGGGCATTTATGCCCCACTTATCTAAGAAAAAAGTAACTAAAGCTCTACCATTATGCTCTGGGCCAAAGATCCAAGGAATAACAATGTATTACCTCCTTCCTAATTTTATGTCTTGTATTATAGTAGGGGGTTGGTTAGAGGGTAACTAGACATTTTTCTATCTTCTTGTCTGATACTATTCTAATAACATGTATGTATGTGTATGTATTTATTTATACATGCATAGTTACATACATACCTAACTGTATGTGTAAATACATTACATATTATGTAAATACATTACATAAAAATATTTCTTTTTAAAGATTATTTTAGTCACTTGAGAAACCACATTCTGAAGTAAGTGTAAAAGTGATCAAATCGTTTCCTCATCCAGACTGAAAAAACTGAACTGCAGAAATTCAATACAGTGGTCAAAATCACAATGTTACTTGGCTAGGAAAAGACTTCCTCCTGAAATTCCAGACTGCTGAAATTTCCTCTAAATTCAAATTTGACTTAGGGATACTAAGGAAAAAAGCCACTTTAATGTACACATGTATTATGAACTAAACTAGTACTTCATATTACTTTAGGTAAGCTTTCTATAATTTACAGTTCTTGAGAATGGAAATGATGCTGATTAAGTTAGAGAATGAGCACTGAAGTGATTTGCCCATTGATTTTGCTTTCCTTATCATGCTGATTCTCATTTGAACTTGTAAGGACAGCATTTCTCTAAATGGTATAAGCAAGAAATGACTGTCTACTCAAAAAGTTTTTCCTTTTTTAATTTTGTTTTCACTTCAATAGCTTCATCCTCTAATTCCACAACCTCTCTCTTTTATATTCTTGTCCCGTAAGCCATATCAGAGCTCCTCCTTGGTACAAATATCAGGTAATTGAGAAGGTGGAGGGCTGGGGATTTAGCTCAGTGGTTTTGCCACCTGCTGCGCAAGCACAAGGACCTGAGTTCAATCCCTGGTACAAAAAAAAAAAAAAAAAAAGACAGAAAATTGAGAAGGTGGAGCTTCATTATTAACCTCATGGATAAGAAATGCACAATTTTTAAATTGGTGAATTAGTATTTGTGGGTCTTTTTTAAAGTTTCATTTTATTTATTATAAACAAAGGTTAATTATTTCAGAGAAATTTTTAAAAAGAAAATGAAATAAGTATTAAAAATATCAATTATGTGTTCCAACTTGAACATATTCTGTGTTTATTATAGCATAAAATGTGTACAATGAAATTCATTAAAATTAATGAAGTTCTTACAAAGGTATGAGTTATGTTACCACATAAATCAAGATATAGAATAGTCTATCCTAATAGCAGTTAGCATTTATCTATATATTTGTTTGTAGTTTATACCTTTTAATTGTTGAGTAAAATTCAATTATATGGATACAGTTGACCCAGGGGAGGGTCAATGGTTTGTTTAAAGTTTTGTACAATTACAAATAAAACATCCATAAATATCCACATACAGATTTTTGTGTGAACTTACACTATCATTTAAAGTATGTAAAAAATTTAGAGTGAGATTTCTGGGTCATGATAAGTGTGTGTTTGTCTTTGTAAGAAATTGCCCAACTGTGGGTGACTGTAATATTTTTCATTTCCTCCAGCATAAGTGAGAGTTCAGTTCCTCTTCATCCTCCTTAGAACTTAGCATTGTAGAGGCATATTACCTTTTTAGCCCTTTTGCAAAATTGTTGTACCATTTCACATTCCCACCACCCAACATTGTGTAACAGCTTTAGTTGCTCCCTAGTCTTCTCAGCACTTGCCATAATCAGTCTAATTTTAAATTACATTTTGTAGTGATATCTCATTTGTATGCCTCCAAAGATAAATTATGTTCAGTATCTTTTATGTGCTGCTTTGTCATCCATTTATCATACTTTGCCCATTAAAAAAAAAAGTGTTGGTTTATCTCAAACTATTGAATTTTGAGAGTTCTTTATAAATTCCAGATACAAGGTCCTCAGCAGCCATGTGACTAACAAATATTCAGCCTGGTGGTAATTTTTAAGTAGTACTTTTTCATTTTTATAAAGTTCAAATTACTAAACTATACCTTGTGCAGACTGTGCTTTTGGTGTTACATATAAAAAATTTTGCCTAATTCAGGATCCCAGATATTTTGTATTATTTTCTTTGGAAGTTTTTTAGTTTTAGGGTTTTACATTTAACAAAAAATCTTTTTTGAGTTAATTTTGTATTGAGAGTAAAGTGGGGATAAGGGTCATTATTTTTTAACATGAATATCAAATTATTCCTAGGGCTGGGGATTTAGCTCAGTGGTTTCGCTGCCTGCTGCGCAAGCGCAAGGACCAGAGTTCGATCCCCGGTACCAAAAAAAAAAAAATTATTCCTGTACTGTTTGTAAATAAAATTTATTCTTTCTGCATAGCTTTCTGTTTTTACTCTTATAGAAAAATCAACAGGTTGCATATGTGTGGGAGTATTTTGTCTTCTGTTGCTCTATAAGTCTAGCCTTTCTCTAAAAGCACAAAGATATCTTATTGTCTACATCTCTTTCAAAAATATTTTTAGTCATTGACCAAAGGATCAAAATATGCATCTTTATTTATACAAAATCCACTTTGCAATAATATGCTGCTTCACATGTTGAATAAGGACCTTGCAACAGTATAATTCTGATTCTTCCTTTTCATACTTGATGCTATTGCTGCCATAGCTTTTGCTTTTAAATATTCTATAAATATGCAATATCTTGCTAATATTTTTGTGAGTATTGGCAAACTATGACTCATAGGCCAAGTGTGCCCTCTTTGTATAGCATCTGCCTGTTTTCAAACAGCCTACAAGATAAAAATGGTTTTTACATTTTTTAAATACTTAGAAAAAATCCAAAGGATAATATTTTGTGACATATAAACATATGAATCTAAAATTTCAGTGTATATAAATAAAGTTTTATTGGAATGCAGGCAAGCTCACTTATTTATACATTATCCATGGCAGTTGTAACCAATACAGATCTCAGCAGCTGCAGTAGACACCATATGGGCTGCATAGCTGAATGTATCCATAGCCATTGACCAGACCCTGCTTTTAAATATTAGTTTTCTTCTAGGGCAGTTAAAAATAAGAAAAAATAAATAAATTCTAATATTGTATGATTTTTCAGCATACTTCTTTTGTATAGGTGCAAATTTCTTTCTGGAATTATATTTATTTTCCTCAAACTTGTAACTTTTTTATAAATTCAGTTACACTATAAATAAATGATCTATTTTTGTTTCTCTGAAAATCTCTACTTCTCTTCAATGTTTGAATATTTATGGGAAAAGAATGAGAACAAAAGTGGAATCATTTGTAGGAAAATGGTTGTATCTTGAGATCGTGATGTTATGTGAAATAAATCAGACATACATTCTCTCATATGAGAAACTCAAAATATAAATAAAGAATTTTGCTCTTATTTTTTGCTTTTTCTTTTCTTTTTAAAAGATAAGTAATAGGAAATAAGGAAAGAGGAAAGAGATCTTTTGCAAATGAGAAGGGGACTAAGAGATAGAGGGAAAGGGGATTTTAAAAAGAATCAAGATGTGTTATGTGAATGTACTAACTCTCCATGAGGAATACACTCCAAACGTTTACTAATAAGTAAAAACTGAAAAAAAAGGATTTTTGCTTTGTCTTTCCCTATTACATGTTTGAGTACAATATGCTCAGTGTTTATGCATGGTTAATTATTACTATTATATCATCATTGTTATTCTTAGTGTTCTCAAAGATTCTTAGATCTATGGTGATTTTAATTTCTGTTCTTTTTGAAACATGTTTGACTTCCATCTTCTGCCAAATATTTCTTTAAAAATACAGATATTTTAACCTTTTTGATATTACCCCATGTCTCTTGGATGTTGTAATTTGTTTTTATTCTTGTTGCCCCCATGCTCTAATTTGAGTAATTTTTATCTAGCTTTGTTTGATTCACTGATTTCTTCCTCTTCTGTTGAAGGCATTCTGCATCTCGGTAACTTGTCTTTTTATTTCTTGCATTTCCATTTCATTCATCTTCCTAGTTTCCACTTCACTATTGAAATTCCTCCTGATGCTGCCTGCTGTCCATATAATTTTTTTTTTTTTTTTTTTGGTATCGGGGATCGAACTCAGGTCCTTGCGCTTGCGCAATTCTGATGGTTCCAACATTTATATGTCTGACTTTATCCATTTTCCAAAATAAGATTTCTTTCTTGATATACATTTAAAGTCTGTGTGCCTCACAACTTTTGTTGAAAATCAGAGACTTACCTGGAAATGAGCATGGATGGTCCTTTGCTGTGGCCTTACTGTGGATGCTAAATCAATGTGGTCAGGAGTTAATCTGTGTTTGTGATTTTTTCTTAGTTACTCACAGTGCTGTTTGTCTGCTCCATCATCAGCTTGAGTCTTCCCTTTAAACCCAAACCTAAGAAAATTTCTCTAACATTCTCTTACCCATCCTTTAACAACTACCTGTTTTTACTTGTCATGTGATGTTTATTTAGCCTGGTAGTAAGCTCTGTGTAATGGGAAGCATGACACAGGGAGTATCTTATTGTCCTGGCCAGCTTCTGCCTTTGGCAGAACCTCTGTCTCTGAGTCTTAAAGATGAGATTTTCACCTCTAAGTCTGACCCTCTTCTAGATGTTGAAGACCCTTAAGAGATGCAGGTGCTAAATTCTATACCTAGAACCTGTTTCTTTCTCTTCTCTAGAAGCAGACCAGCTTTTTCTTTGCTGTTTCAAAGGGTCTTCACCTGTGCCCTGAAGATGATAGGCTTTGCTTTTCTTCCTCAGGGGTATTTTTGTTTTATAGAGAAGGATTCAAACGGCTTTCATGTCTTTTCTACAATGGCTGATCTTTCCCTCCCCCAGACCTGTCCTTAGTCTTCCCCAAGACCATCCAGTGGCATCAAGGAAGTGCCTACAAGTGGGTGGGTATAAGTTCTCCATGTCACTGAGGTTCCCAGTAATTCTACATTCTCATGCTAGTCCCAGCTCAACCTTAGGCAAATTAAAATTTTTAGCTAAATTCTTCAATTTTGTGGAATATATAATGTCAACTATCTACCCCAGGTCAGAAAATGCTCCCATCTGCTCTTTCCTTGGATATATTTTCCCCTAGACATTTGATTACCCTAGATGCTTGTACCACAGCCTCAGCTGTCTGATGGGCTCAGAAAAAGCTGTGAGTTTTGCAGATTATCTGACTTTCTACACCCTAAGCAGAGTTTAATATATTAATTGTTTAATTGTATTTCTCAAGTTATTGAAATTGAAAATGTTTTCATGTTTACAAGCTTCTCACATTTGTCCTCCTGAAAATTTGGTTATTTACACACTGAGTTCATATTGACTTATACAACTACATATAGTGAAAATTTCCCATTAATAATTTTATTCATTCAACAGGCATTTGCCAAACAACTGCAACATCCCCCGATATCTATGTAGAAAAGAATTCCACATGTATCCAAAACCAAACCAGGAGTTTAATAAATGAGAAATTTACTTGTATTGTGGTGACAGGTTGATGTTTTGGAGTTATTTCTCCATCAGTTATCCAATCCTGACTAATTTGCTGGTGGTGAGTGGGGAGAGAAGTCTGTGAACTGTTACTATCATGCAACAAAGAATCTGGTTGAAGAGGTGATATCAGGGATTCGTCCGTTAAGAGTTGCTCAGATGAGCTGACTTCATTTGGTGGTTTTTGGTTCACCTTTTTTGGCTTTAGTAACCTGGATTGGGGGAAGGAAAAAAAAAAAAAATATATATATATATATGGAGGGAGAGAGAGAGGAGAGATGCAGCTGACCTGTTACCCCTCCTCTGCTTACAATGATCATGTCATTGTGAAATGTACCTTTCTTCTAATATTATCTCTTTCCTTTGCCCCAAGTACATTAGGGATCACTCTTGCGAAGCACATGTACTCAAAATATACCTTCTACTTAAGAAGGGCCCGTGTGAAGAATTCTCATGTCTCCACCAGGACTCTTAACCAAGAGAGACACCGGTCAGTAGCCACACTGGTAAGAGAACAAGGTTGTGGCAATGGGACAGGAGTGAGAGGTGGTGACAAAATAGGAGTAGGGGTTTAATCAACTGCCCAGGGCAGGGACTCAGGGACAGTTGCACTGACTCAGAAATGTGTCTTCTAGGTTAATGGTTGGTGTCTACTCTTACCTACATTTGTTGGAATGATTTGTCCAACTCTGGACATGCTGTCTGCAGTAGGCTTGTAGTGTTCTCAAGAAACTTTTCCTGGAACTCTATGAGAACCAGTGTATCATGTCTCTTCCTGTGTGTGTGTGTGTCTTACCAAGGATTAAACCCAGGGATTTCACACTGAATTACATCACAGTTCTTTAAAAAAAATTTTTTTGAGTCAGGATCTCACTAAGTCACAAAGTTGCCCAGTATGAGCTCCAGCCTGCAATCCTCCTGCCTCAGCTTCCCAATGACTTCTCAATTGTTCATCTAAGGTGTGTATGTTCTGAAAGGGAAGTTCTTCACTTCTGTGACATGTAAGTGTACTAAATATCAGAGTCTTCTACACGAGACCCTGTTCAGTTGAACCTGTTCAGCTTTCTGACAAAAAAACACAAAATACCATTCCCTTGGAGAGCTGACTTTTCCTCCATCCAGTTCCTACCTTAATGCCTCTATGATTTCCAGATTTCAGCTATAGATTTTTGCTCATTTTTGGCACGTGGGAGAATGCACCTCCATTCTTACTCCTTTCTTCACATTTTTTTGTCTTCTGTTTTACAGGCATCTATACTTTGCCATTTGGGCCAGGTAATACAGGACTCTTTCATTTTATTTTCTGTAAAAGAAAACCAGCACCCAGTCTCTGCCAAGCTGATTGAGCAATGCCATATCAATCAGATATCAAACATGCAGGAAGCTGCCCCCAGAAGGAAATATAAGAAAAACTTCCAGCTTCTAAACTAACAACTTTATACCTAACAGCTGTTACCAAATTTAGGTAACAATAGCAAGCATGTCTTACTAGAGATGGGCACTCCTGTGCCCATCATTCCAGTCTCAAGCCCCTTTCTTGGGGAGGTCAGGATGGCCCACAGAGGCAAAACTAGTAGATGGGGAAGCTGGGGCTTCTTCCATAACCAGGACAGCCAAGGGAAAGGAAGACCCTAGGGTTGGAATAGACTCATTTAAAGCAACATAACCGATTTTGTGGTGGGACCCTCAGATACTGCCAGCTGTTCCCTCAGGACTATAAATGTGCCCCAAAGTTCTCATGTGTGTGAAAGGTGATTGGATCATGGGGGTGCTATATTCATCAGTGGATTTATCCATTGCTGATTCATAGCTAACTGTGCTGATTTGTCTATTCTTGTCTTGGACTCCTCCCTTCTCTCTTGGCTTCCTGCTGCCATGGGGTGAGCACCTTTTTCTCTAATATGTCCGTCTGCTATCTTGTTTCCGTCTTGGAACCAGACAACCATGGAGTGAACTGGTGAGACAAAATAAACCTCTCCTCCATTCAGGTGTGAGTGTTGGGTATTTTGTCCCAGTGACAGGAAAGTGACTAAGAGACTTGGTTGATGCTGGCATATGCAAAGCCTCTTCCCTCCACCTAAATCATCACAACCCTTAGGGGTACTCTCGGCTCCTAGGTTTCCTGGGGGATGGGCTGAGGCCTTTGTTGAAACTGCATTGAATTGAAATTCTTCTTCTTCTCCCCTGCCCCACCTCTTCTCCCTTCTCTCCCCCGCCCCATGGAATTAATCCTGAAAGCACTTAAGATTTACTTCCTGAAAACTAGTACCTTGGAGTTTTCTTATGATAGAATCTAACCTATATGTGCTAGTATGTTTAGGCCATTACAGAGATTAGAAACTCTGTGAGCATTTAAACCTAGCCAATTTTGACCCAACTTCTCTTTTTGTAACCCAGAAACTTTTCACATCATAACCTAAACTTTTCACATCATAACCTCGCTTTCCCTACATTCATGCAGTGAGATACAGAGCAGGAGATCATCAGGTGAGGAAGGACAGAGATTGTTAACTGAGGATGCCCTAAGGATTAAGGCCACTTCAGTGGCTCAATCCCACCTTGCTACAAGGAAAGGCTTTGGATACAGGTTGTTCCTTGATGGCATTATGTCTGCTGGCTACAGAGGCACCAGCCATCTTTTTATCTTGACTTTCCTTTTTTATTGACTTTTTAAATTTTTCATTTTGTATTTAGTATCAACTGATTGGGGGAAAAAAAGAAACTTATATGTCATTATCTTTCAAGAACAAAGTAAGAGGGGTGACATCAGCAGGGAGGCAGAATATGAGTTTTTCAGCTCCAGACCCTGCACAAAACCCACTCAGCGGAGACCAGAGACAAGAACATTCCTGTGAATATCTCAGAGCAAGGTCAAGACACCTGCCAGGGCCACAAAACTAAACACAGCTCCACTAAGGTGAGGTAAGAGAAATGGTTTTACCCTTGGGTGCCATCTCTCTTCCAACCCAGCACAGTATCACACCAAGTTCCTCAGGGCCTATGGTTTCTACAATGAAAAAAAGAGAGCTGGAGATGAGCATTCAGGTTTGCCAGCACTCTGAAATACTTTGCAAGGGGCTCCCTGATGTCTCTTCCTTTGAAGAAAACTAGGGCCACTGCCAGGGCTACATCATCTGGGGTCAGTTAGAAACAAAGAAAAGGTGAATCTTGGTGTCTCTGCCTTCTGGCTAATGGAAGCTTCCAAGCAGAAAGACTTTTCAACACCATCATTTTACAGGAAGCATGATCAACAGGTAAGCTGGCTTCAAATTCCTGGCCAGCTTCCCACCCAGCCCAGTGCTCTGCTGATGGCTTCCCCACACTGGCAGATAAGGACACATCAGGCACATTTGTGGAGGGGAGCACCTGGACCTGCCTAATACCACCCAAGCTCAGACATCTGCATAAGCCTTCCTGAAGCTCAGAAACAACTCCACTTCCACAAATATCTCAGAAGGGGCATGTCTAGCCTTGCTAAACCTGAGTGATTGAGCTGCTGACCTCACCCAGCCACGGTGCTCCACACAAACTTTCTCCAGGTTAAAAGGCAGGTCTGGAGATACTATTAGTAAGTGCACACAGGCCCTAGCTAGAGGCCCACCTGGATACCATCAGTAAAAGTGCACAGACACCAGACAGAGGAGGCCCATTGGGACAGCAGCATAGTGCAGGGATCCAGAAGGCCATCATTCTGAGCCCAGGAATTGGCACAGTGGTGAGCAGAGAAGAGAAGGCCTCTACAAGGCTTGGTGAGAATTGAAGCCCGCTAGGAGCGCAAAGAGCCACCTCAATAAAGGTGCAACAGACTGCAGTGGTTGGTGAGCTGCTGGGGTCAACATCTTCCACTGGAACCAGACTTGTTGTGGGGGAAGGATGGCTCCAACCTGCAGTAGAACTTTGCAGAGTTCCAACCCAAAGAAGGTCAGGGAGCTCAATTCCAGCCTCACAGCCAGAAACCAGCCTGAACTTCAGTGGACTACAGATGGCTCTCTGAGATCAGTCGACACAGATCTGTACTTGACCCACACTGTCTGCCAAGGACAACAGAGACAGACCTTGAAGGGGACATTTTTTTCTTCTTTTCTCCTTCTTCATTCCTCATTTTTCTTTTTCCTGATTTTGTCCTATTTTTCTTGACTGTTCTTATATTTATAGGAGTGAGAATATAGTTTATGGTTTTTCTGTTGCTGTCAGTTTGTTCTGTTCTTGTTTTTGTTCCTTTCTCCTCTCTTTTCCTTCTGTCTTCACCACTTTCCCAAAGTTCATATGATCTTCCTGAGTCCTCTAACCTTACTTCTAAACTTTCCCCCTCCTTCTATTTCTCTACCCCACCCCCATCCACACACACACACACACACACACACACACACACACACACACACACTTCCTTCTAAATCTCCCCAGAGGGCAAATTCACTATATTGAAGGGCTTGTTTACAGTGAATATATTTCTGGTTGGTTCAAGACTTTAATATATAACTACAAGTCTGGGTCATGTTGTCAAAGGTGGTAGATTAATAGTTAAAACAGTTTGTCATTTTCTAGACTGTGTTTAATGCTTTCATTGATGCTGATTGCATTACTTTGGCCATGGTGATGTGACCATTCTAGTCAGGTGTGTTTCCTGGTATAACAAGACTGATCACATAAGGGCAATTACAGACTCAAGGCCCAGAAGCCAACTAAACCTGGAAGACAATCCAAGAAGTAGCTATTCCCTAAGAGTTCTAAATACTAGCAATAAAGATATTCACAATAGGCATTTTACAAGCAGAAACCCAGGAATTAAACCAAAAACATCAATAACAACAATAACAAAAAATAGAAATGGAAAGACACCTAAACAAGACTCAAAATGAGACTTTCATATCACCAAAGATAGCTCCATGAGGCAACAAGCCAGGACAATCTGAAACCCAACTACCTAGACTCCCTGAACTGTCAATGAAAGAGGATCTGGAAAAAATAAAAACAGAAATAATTCTCAGATAACAACAGTGATGGTGTCCATACTGAGAGATATGATTAAAGACTCTAGAGCAAACACAGATTAAAAAAAAAAATAGAAGTGCTGAGGAACATGATGAAATCCCAGCATAGGAAAGAAATGGAATTTATAAAACAGATTCAAACAGATATACAGATTAAAAACTGCATTGAAAGTTTATGTAGCAGAATGAGCCAATGTGAGGTGAGAATATCAGGTATAGAACACAGGATTGCTTGCAATCAGTGAACAGGAAAAGAAAGATTTCTTAAAAATAGCAAGGGCCAGGCCAGGGATTTAGCTCAGTGGTCCCGCTGCCTGCCTCACAAGCACAAGGACCTGAGTTTAATCCCCAGTACCGAAAAAAAAAAAAAAAATAGCAAGAGACTATGAGAAATCAATCCAGCAACTGCTACATTATGCAAAGAAGAATAACATAAGACTGATTGGAGTCCATGAAGAAACAGGAGATAGTGCAAACATAAAAAACTGTTCACAGAAGGAGTGGCAGAAAACTTCCCAAGCAGGGGAAAAGAATTTGACACACAAATAAGTGAGGCATATATGACTCCAATTAGCCATGATCAAAAAAGAAAAAAATCTACTCAGAGGCAAATAATAGTCAAGATTCCAGAAACCCAACAGAAGAACAAAATATTATAAGCAGTTTGAGAAAAGAAACAAATCACATACAAAAGAAAGCCCATCACAGTCATGGCAGACTTCTCAACACAAACCCTTAAGTCAAGAAAAGCCTGGAGTGAAGTATTTCAAACCTTAAAAGAAAACAATATCCAACTCAGATTGATGTATCTTTCAAAATTGATGGAAAAATGAGATACTTTCATGACAAAGAACACCTAAGGAACTTCATGAAGACCAAACCAGCACTCCAAAAAATTTTAAACAATATTCTAGGAAAAGACAATGAGGGTCACAACCCTACAAAGCCCAACAGGATGAACCCATTAGGCAAGGCAAGAAATTAAATGCAAAAGTGGAGAATCCAGCAACAGGAAAAGGTCATGGCAAGGATAAGTCAATGCATATCAGTTATAACCATCAATATTAATGGTCTCAATTCACCAATCAAAAGAAATAGGCTGGCAGAATTGCTCAAGAAGCAAGATTCAACAATATGCTGCATACAAGAGACACACTTAATTCAAAAAGAAATTCATAGACTGAAAGTTAAAGGATGGAAAACAATACTCCATACAACAGAAACCGCCCCCCCCCCAAAAAAAGCAGAAGTAGCTATCCTACTTCCAGATAAAATGGATTTCAAACCAACACTAATTCAGAGAGACAAAGAA